TATATTTCTATGCTCCGAAAGTATATTTGGGATCCGTCTCATGTTCTGTATTTCTTCACGATTCAGTTGGATGATGACTTGACCTATATGATGTGGAGCCAGTAGCTATTTGGGGTCGTCAGGTTCGAAAGTTGAGGTCAAAGGATATAGTTTCAGTGAAAGTGCAGTGGAGAGGTCGGCCCGTGGAGGAGGCTACTTGGGAGACCGAGCGGTAGATGTGGAGCAGATATCCTCACCTATTTGAGGCTTCAGGTATGTTTCTTAATTCATTCGCGGATGAACGTTTGTTTAAGTTGGGAGGATGTGACGACCAGGCCAGTCGTCTTATGAGTTACCGCTCTGTTTTCCCCATTTCTGCTTCTTTATGCTTTATTTATCCGTTTTATGTGATATCGGGTTGGTTGGATCAAATTCGGAAGGAATTTGGTAAGGTTTGAGACACTTAGTTTCTTTTGAGGGATCTTAAGTTGGAAAAGTCAACCAAATGTTAACTTATGTGTTAGAGGGCTCGGAAGTGAATTCCGATGGTTCAGCTAGCTTCGGTACGTGATTTGTGACTTAGAAGTGTGATCGGAATGAGTTTTGGAGGTTTGGAGTAGATTTAGGCTTGAATTGGTGAAGTTGATATTTTGGTAATTTCCGGTCGATAGGTGATATTTTGATATAGGGGTCTAAATGGAATTCTGAGAATTGTAGTAGTTCCATTGTGTCATTTGGGATGTGTGTGCAAAATTTCAGGTCATTCGGATGTGATTTGGTTGGGTTTTTTATCAAAAGCGTAATTCGGAAGATTTTAGAAAGTTTGGCTTGAATCCGATGTGTTTTGGGTGATTTGATGTTGTTTGAGGTGTTTTGATAATTGGAACAAGTTTGAATAAGGTTTTAGGATATGTTAGTGCCTTTGGTTGAGGTCCCGGGGATCTAGGGTGAGTTTCGGGTGGTCTATCGGATCATTTTTGGGGTTAGGAAATTGCAGAAAATCTGTTCAGTTGTTGCAGAGATCTTACCCTTCGCGTTCGAAAGTGGAGCCTCACGTTCGCGAAAAGGAAGTTAAGAAAGGGAAGGATTAAGCCTTCGCATTCCGCAAGAAGGGCTTCGCGTTTGCGGAGGGCTGGGAAGTGGTGCATCGCGTTCGCGAGAAGGTCTTCGCGATCACGTAGAGGAATTTGGGTCAGTGAGTTCGAGGTCAAGTATTCATCGTGTTCACGAAGGGTAAGGTAGAGGAAGTATCACGTTCGTGATGGTCATGTCGCGTTCGCATAGAGGAAAAGTTGGTCAAAGTAAGTTTGTGCTTCGCAAATGCGAGGGTTTGACCGCATTCACGAAGAAGGAAATTAAGGCTTGGGCAGAATGTTTTTAACTCGTCTCGTCCGCGATGTTAGGGCTTATTTCCTCCATAGTTGGCCATTTTGGGAGATTTTTGAAAGGGATTGAAGAGGGATTCAAGGGGAATCATTAGGAGGTAAGATTCTTGGACTTAAAACTCGATTATTATGTGAATTCTACCTAGAAAATCATGGAAACTTAAGCTAAAAATGGAAGAGTTAGGGCTTGGAATTTGGACTTATGATTGGGGATTTGGAGGACCATTTGGGGCCGGATTTGAGAAATTTTGATATGTATGAACTCGTGGGTAGATAAGGAATCTATTGATGTGAAAATTTCTAAATTCTGAGACGTGGGCCCGGGGGTCGAGTTTTGGTAATTTCGGGATTTGTGTCCTTTATTGATTGTTTTCGCTTGGGCTTTGTTCCCTTAGCATATTTTTACGTTCTCGTTCTGATTTTGGATAGATTCGACGTGCATGGAGGCCGATTCGAGAGGCAAAGGTATCGCGAGCTAGAGATTTAGCCGGTTCGAAGTGAGTAATGATTGTAAATGATGTCCTGAGGGTTTGAAATCCCGGATTGCACATCGTAGTGCTATATTGAGGTGAGACCACGCTTGATGATGAGCGTGGGGTCGTGTAATATTGGGGATTGTGACTTGGTCCGTCCCGGTTGATGATTTTACTGTCTATTTGACTGAATTTTATTTGCTATCATCATAATTTGGGTTGAATGCCATATTTGGGCTTCATGCCAACTATTTGAATCCTTCGGGGATTTTTATTACAAATTCCTCACTGTTTTGATTCATTACTTGAACTCAGTAATGTTATTTTCCACCGTTTTACTACTCAACCATGTTTACTCAGTTTTAAGACTTAAATGATATTTTAAATGGTGTTTGGGTTGAGAAATGTTGTTTTACTATTGCCCGAGGGGCTTGTGAGTATTTTTGACTGAGTAAGGCAGAGGGCCTAGTTGTGAGGAAACACTGATACTGATTTGAGGCCTAGGTCCTGAGATATATATGCCACGAGGTGGCTTGATTGATATGAGGCTGAGGGCTTAGATTTGATGCCACGAGATGGCTTGTTATTGCGTTTGGGCCATAAGAGGCCCTCCAGGAGTCTGTACACCCCTAGTGAACGCGGGTACCCATTGTGATGTGAGATTGAGCCCGAGGGGCTGGTACTGATCTAAGATGTTGCCCGAGTGGCGGATTTGTTGATACTGTGCCCGAGGGGCGAACTTCTATTTTTTTACTCTATCTTAATTATCTGTCAAATTACCTATTTACTGGTTGAAAGAGGATTTTACTTGATTTTTACTGGTTTTACTGATTTTAAGTGATTTTACTGCTTCGTTATAGAATGCCTTGCGCTTTACGTGTTTTATTACTTTCAGTCGTTATTTACATTTGTTACTCACTGAGTTGGAGTACTCACTTTACTCTCTGCACCCCTATGTGCAGATTTAGGCGTAGCTGGTACTGCTCCCGAGTGCTGACCCTCCAGTTTTAGGCGAGCGTTCGGAGACTACGAGGTAGTTGTTGACGTCCGCAGCCTCGTGTCTCAACTCTTTTATCATTTCTATTTCCCTTCAAACATTTGTACTAGTTTATGGATTTGCAGACTTATATTATGGCCTATAAACGCTCATGACTTGTGACATCCCGGTTAAGGCTGTGTCAGATTGTATTTCCGCATTTTATCGATATTTTCCGCTATTCAGTATATTTAAGTCATGGTTAGACTATTTTTATGTTGGTTAACTATTTTAAAAAGGGAATTGGATTTAACTGGCTTGCCTTGTCTTCACAAGAGGCGCCATCACGACCGGGTTTGGGGTTAGGGTCGTGACAGTGGTGGCTAGGGTTTAGGTGGTGTTGCAGAGAGGGTTTGAAATGAAGGGGATTCTAAGGCGGCGAATTGTCTCAAATGATAGGGTTTTGGGGGTCGTTTAGGATTAATTAAGGTAAGGGTGAATACTGGCCGTTGATCTGAATGATCAATGGCCCGAATTAAAGCGGGTAGGTAGAGGTCTGGGTTTGGGTCGGTTAAATGGGTTAGGGGTCATGTATGAATAGGAATTGGGCCGGGGTAATTGGGTGTAAATTGGGGTAGAATTCAGGCTATAATTGAAATAAAATCTGGCTAGATTTTAAATAGCCATGTTTCCCCATTTATTTTATAAAAAATAGCAAATTAAAATCTGGAAATAAATTGAAAGTACTAGAATGATTATAACATATAATTATCAATTTAAAAAATACTGGACTTAATTTTATGAATATAAACGCAATTAAATCCTAAAAGAGACTAATATTGCAACTGTATGCAATTTAGCTTTAAAATACTAAATAAATTTGTAAAAATATGGAAAAATTATATTAGCTATATTTTAGCATAAATATGAAATTTCAATAAATGAATCACCAAAATGATAATTTTTAGAAATAATTATTGGTTTTTTATGGATAAAATAGAGAAATAAATTTGTTTAAAAACCTTTAAAAATAAAGGAAAAATAACAAAATACTTGAACATACTTATATATGCATACAGTTGATATTTTGAAGGTATTTTACATATTAGAGAATATATAGAAAAAAATTGGGTATCAACACTCATTAATTAAGTACCACAAACCAAACATCTTCAATGAAAAGGCGTCTATTGAAGAAGCTTAATGTTTTCTTCCATCATATTGATAATAAATAAGCCTACTAGTTTCTAACAAGTAAAATCAACCAAATATTTCTCTTTATATACTCAAATTTTATCTATCGATGTGGTTACTCGTGACTCTTTCCATTCTCTAATTCATGAATGTGGTAACCCGTTACTGCAATTCCATTCTATCCATTTTACATAAGCATTTAAACATCTAATTCATTTTTATAGTTCATCAATGTGCTTATCTGTTATATATTTTGTACTCCATGAGATTTGGCAATCAAGTAAATCAACGTTGTTAAGTACGCAGAGATAGTCTAAGAGACGTACGTCAGTCCTAGAAGCGACACTTAGTAATATATATTTACTATATGTTTGATACTGTACAATAAAGAACAAAGATCTTTTGTATATTCTCCTCCAAATCTCCACTAGAAGTGCCAGAAGCCCCACCCCAACATTCTTAGCAAGTTCACCTTTTAGGGAGTGAGTGAACAAAGTCCCAAGTGAAAAGTAAAAAAAACAAATAAGCTACTTATCTAATGAGTTGGATACTCTTAATGGTGTGAAGCTTGGAAAAAATCGTGCGAGCTTGGTCCAAAGCAGATAATATTACACCATATTAAGAGTAACTTTGGATCGTTTTAGCCCAACACACATGAATGTTGACTTCTTACACTCTTTCATGAGGTCAATTACTTTTTCCTATGTATGTTCTATTGGGTTTATAGTGTGAAGATTGAGTGAGGGGAAAGCTCCGAGCTTCCTCCAATGGAGGTTGTGGAAGCTTCTCGAAGAGAGAGAGAGAGTAATGGAGAGGACAGTAAAGTCGGTCAAAACTGAAATTATGATATTAACCAAAAACTAAAAATAATATTGTTTTCAATACATATATACAAATGACCTATTGTAATCCTAACTACCAATGACTAGCTAATAGTAATGCTGACTCAGCATTGATACGAATATAAATAATATACAATCTCAATACCCCTCCTCAAGTTGGAGGTGAAGAAGTCACACCCAACTTGCTAAGTACAGAGTAATGTTTGATCACAGTAAGTGCCTTAGTGAGTACATCAGCAAGTTGTTGTCCAATGCCAATGTGATGTAGTGAAATGAGTCCCTCTTGGAGCTTGGTGCGCACAAAGTGGCAATCAACTTCAATGTGCTTGGTACTTTTATGGAACACAGGGTTCCTAGCAATATGTAGAGCAGAGAGGCTATCACAATGTACAGGTATGGGTAGATTGATTGACACAGTAAGCTCTTCAAGCAGCCTGGATAGCCAAACAAGCTCACCAACAACCTTTCTAAGGGCTTTGTATTCTGCCTCTGCTGAAGAAAGAGAAATGGTTTCTTGTTTCTTGGACTTCCAACTAATTGGACTTCCTCCTAGGAACACAATGTATCCAGACACTGATCTTCTGGAGTTTGGGCAGGCTGCCCAATCAGAATCACAATATGCAGCCACAAAAAGATCACCCTCATTACTGAAATAAAGGCCCATGGTAGGATCTCCCTTCAGGTATCTCAACATGTGATAGACTGCCTTTAAATGGGGCTCCCTAGGGTCTTGTATGAATTGACTGAGATGTTGAACCCCATAAGCTATGTCTAATCTAGTGTTAGTAAGAAAATTCAACTTACCAATCAACTTCCTGTAGAAAGTAAGATTAGAAAGTGGTACTCCATCTTTAGCTTTCAATTTAATTGTGGGATCAAGAGGAGAAGTCAGGGGTGGACATTGAAGGCATTCATAGTCCTTCAATAAGTCCAAAACAAACTTCCTTTGAGAGACAATAATGCCATCTGACATGTAAAGAATCCCCAGCCCCAAAAAATAGTGTAGCTGTCCCAAATCCTTGATTTTAAACTTATCATGTAAGAAAGCTTTAAGTTGATCAATTTCTTCAGAATCAGTCCCTGTGAGCAACACATCATCCACATATATTGCTACAAAAACAATAGAGGAGTTCTATTTTCTGTAGAACAAGGAATAATCATGCATGGAGTGCACATATCCTCTGGAATATAGTACTTCAGTTAGCTTATCATACCACTGTCTACTGGCCTGCTTTAACCCATAAAGGGATTTATTCAACTTGCACACTAACTGTGGGGAAGACACCTCAAGGCCTGGAGGGGTCTGCATATAGACCTCCTCATGCAAATCTCCATGGAGAAATGCATTATTCACATCTAGTTGTGAAATTTGCCACCTCTTCTTTGCTGATATACCAATGAGAGACCTCACAGTAGTCATCTTAACCACTGGGGAAAATGTCTCTGTATAGTCTACAACAGCTTACTGAGTGTATCCTTTAACAACCAGTCTTGCTTTGTATCTTTCTACACTACCATTTGCCTTATGTTTAACTTTATACACCCATCTACACCTAATGGCTTGTTTACCCTTAGGTAGGGGAACCAGATCTCAGGTCCTATTAGCATACAAAGCATCAAACTACTGTGACATGGCATTCTGTCAGGCGGAATATATAGCAGCTTCTTCATATGAATTTGGTTCTCTATCATTGCAAATATTTTCTACAACATACTGACTATTAGGATTCATGGCATCAGAAATGATGTGGTTATTATTGGAGGACATGGCATGCAAAGAAAAGTTGGTAGTACATTTTAAATTTGGTATTTTGTAAACATAATCATTTAGATGTGAGGGCAATTTATGCTCCCTATTGGATCTTCTAAAGGCTATTGGTTCTTTCAGGGGCTGTAAGGATGAGGTTATATCTTGTAGTTGACCTACTGGAATTAGGAATTCATGAGTAGAGGATACAGGTGAAGGAACATCATGTGATGTGTTGGAGCTTGAAGAGTTGGCACTTGCCTGATTGTTGGCATTGTCACTAATGTTATGATACAGTTGAGTATCAGTATGGTCAGGAGAATTCTCAAAGAATGGTGTATTAGGAAGGACAGATGGAATGTCTGATGTAGTGGAGTTAATAGTGAAGGGGAAAACTGACTCATAAAATGAAACATCTCTAGAGACATGTATTTTCCTAGTGGCCAAACTTAGTATCTTGTACCCCTTTGTACCAAAAGGATACCCTACAAATACATGTGGGCTGGTTCTTGGTTCTAGTTTATCTCTGAATGGTTTTGGTACTGTAGGATATCACAAGCACCCAAAACTTCTCAAGTGAGAGTAGTTTGGCTTCCTTTTATATAAGAGCTCAAAAGGACATTTGTTCTTTAGAGGGATGGTTGGGAGTCTGTTAATCAAATATGTTACTGTAAGGACACACTCTCCCCAATATTTCAGTGGTAATTTAGATTGAAAGAGCAGTGCCCTGGCTACTTCAAGTAGATATTTGTGTTTTCTTTCCACCATCCCATTTTGTTGTGGTGTATAAGGACAAGTCTTTTGGTGGTTAATTCCTTTGGATTGAAAGAAGGTGGTAGCTTCATTGTTGGTAAACTCTGAACCATTATCAGATCTTATACATTTGACAGTTGTCTTGAATTGATTTTCTATCATGGTTGTAAAGGCCTTTATTATTTGAAAGGCATTGATTTTGCAGCTTAGGAGGTGTGTCCAAGTGGACCTACTGTAGTCATCCACCAAAGTTAGAAAGTATTTGAAGTTGTTGTGTGTTGTCACATGATAGGGTCCCCATAGATCTACATGAAGTACTTCAAAGATTTCAGTGGTTTCTATTGTTCTTTGGGGAAAGGGAAGTCTGGATTGTCTGGCCATGGGGAAAATGTTGCATGTGAAAGGCTGTTTGTCAGAAAAGGTTACAGGTATAGTAGGAATCCCTTTCATTTTACTTAAGGGTACATGACCAAGTCTGAAATGCCACAATACATCTAGATTAACAGCATAAGATGAACCAGAAAACAAAGCAGAGTTACTGTCTTTATTCTTGATACTGTGAATGGAATTATTTACAATTGGAAGTGAATTGAAAGATTGGGTTAGAAAATGTACACCTCTTACATCACTAGTATGAATAGAAAGACAAGAAGAATCACATTTCTGTTTGGAACTACCTTTCTTCAGGCACTTGGAGCAAAGGAAATACAAACCATCCAGCAACTTACCAATCTCTAGAGGCCTCTTCAGTGAAGAGGCTTGCAGCAGATAGGCAGTGTCTGAGAATGATGCAATATATTTTAAATATAACTTCCAAGGAACTAATGGATACCAAATTAAATTTGAATGAAGGAATGAACAGAACTTTGTACATGATGATTTCAGGTGTTAGAAATACATTTCCAATTTCATTTACTTTGACTTTATATCCATTTGGAAGTTTCACTAATAGAGGATAAGGAAGGTTTATTATGTTATGCAAGTGAGATTTATCAAAGGTTATATGGTGTGATGCCCCGGAGTCTAATATCCACAAGTCACCCTTTGCATTAAAGCATCTACATGATGGATTGTCAAAGTCAATTGAAGAAGTGCAAGCAATCATACCTGCAAAGTTCATTGATGCTCCACCAACCATATTTACACTAGCTGAACCTTCTCCAATGCTTCCCGTCTGGAAATGTTGCAATAGGCTAACAATTTGTCCATATTGCTCCTTTGAGGTTGACATTTTGGCTTTGGCTTTCTCCTTAAGGCTCCAGTTTCTCTCCTTCCTCAACACTTGTGACTACATTTGCTGTGACATTTCTTCCCTTATTGAACTTTGCATTGTTGTTGTACCCTTGTGTACCTTGTCTATACTGTTGTTGTTGTCCCTGATTGAAGCTTGGAGGAGAACCGTGGAGTTTATAGCACTTGTCCTTAGTGTGACCTTAATGTTTGCAATAATCACAGAAAGGTTGAGCCCTATTGTTCACACTTTGGTTTCCAGCAGAATAATTTGTTTTGAAATTCCTTCCTCCTAGGTTCGCATTCAATGATGTGGAATCAATGTCTAGTTGATTTCTGGGCCTAAACTCTCTCTGTTTCTCTTCTTGTATCAGAAAGGAAAATGCATGTGCCATATTCGGCAAGGGGTTCATCATAAGTATGCTTCCTCGAACAACCGTATATACTTCATTAAGTCCCATTAAAAACTGTATGAGTCTCTTATCCTGTTCTGCCTTATGCATGTTCTCCTTCGCCCCACAAGTGCATATACAACTGCAGTGAGCCTTGACGCTGAGAGTATTCAACTCCTCCCAGAGTTTCTTCATTTTCGTATAATAGCCAATAATATAAAGCACTCCCTAACTTAAGTCGTTGATTTCCTTCTGAATTTGGTACAGCTTGGCCCCGTTCGTCTGATCATATCGATCATGTAGCTCTTTCCACAACTCAACGGAATTGTTCACGTACTCAACACTGTTAGCTATATCTCTCGATAAGGAATTTAAAATCCACGAGGTGACCATATCATCACACATTTCCCATTGGCGAAAGAGTGGAGAAGTCACAAGAGGTTTTTCAGTATCTCCAATAATGAACCCTAGCTTGTTCTTCACTGAAAGGGCTCTGAGCACACTCCTCCTCCGGGAGCGGTATCCAATCCCATCAAAAGATACTAGAACTAGACTGGATCCTGGGCTATCGGAAGGATGTATGTACAGGGGACTCCCAGCATCGATTGTGGTCTGCATCGTCGTTATTGCTGTGGTTGTGGTCGCTTCATCAGTTTGATCTGTGACCGCCATGAAGATTTTGTGAGAGATTTGTGAATAATAGTCGGAATGTTCTTCATACAGTTGAGATTTCTTCAGTTGCTAATGAATCATCACTGAACGTGCTCGATCCAGATTTTTCCCCAAATCGTGATTATCGAAGGAGATTGAACAAAACCCTAGATTGTTCGAATCGACTGAAAATAGTAGAGAGATATGATGTGTGGTCATTGATCGGACCTCCGCTCTATACCATATGAAGATTGAGTGAGGAGAAAGCTCCGAGCTTCCTCCAATGGAGGTTGTGGAAGCTTCTTGAAGAGAAAGAGAGTAATGGAGAGGACAGTAAAGTCGGTCAAAACTGAAAATTATGATATTAACCAAAAACTAAAAATAATATTGTTTTCAATATATATATATACAAATGACCTATTGTAATCCTAACTACCAATGAATAGCTAATAGTAATGCTGACTCAGCATTGATACAAATATAAATAATATACAATGTCAATATATAGTACTTTATGTACCAAAAAGAGGTTAGACATTGTTAATAATTTTTAAAGTTATGATGCAAAAGGTCTAGATTTCATGCATTTTGAACAAAAAAAAAAGAAGTATCAAGTGTCCTTCATCCCTCATGCTGCTAATCTTCCCAGATTTATTATTAATGGAAGTGAAAGTACCAATAACAAAAGGTACTACTTTATACTTATAAAGCTTAAGTGTAAGCCGTTGCATCATAGAAAGATCGAAATTCAGTTGAACCAAATCTTGTAAGACATTTTCGTTTGCTTTAATTTTTCTTTAGTTGGCTTTTGAATAATGGCTATGACTATATAATGAAAGTTGTTGTTTCTATTTTTTTGTTCAATTTCTTTTTTTCTTCCTAACATGTTTAAAAACCTTGTAACCGCATAAGCGTGGCGGGGAAAAAACAAAAAGGCGTAAAAAAATGTGAATGAGTGCTTTCTTTTTTGGTCTTCGTGTTCCCTTAAAAACTAAAACTTAGAAAGTGAATATGTGGTGAGCATTATATTTTGCAAATTTACTTTATTTACAAACAGATGTGCATATGATGGACCCTCAAATCTTTGTATCTACCATGAAATTTCTGGTTATATGCTTGATGGCTAATGTATATCCCCATGCATTAATAGTTTATCTTGTCAAACACTGCCATATTTATTTTCATGAAGGTATTGATATTTTATTACTAAAAAATAAGGGAGAATTACACAAAAATATAGTCCACCTATATATATTGCAGCAGAATAATCCAGTTACAACTTTACAAATTTGTAGCCCATTAACAATAGGCCAAAGTTTGAAAAATAAGCATTTTTTCTTCTTCTTTTTTTATTCTGCAACAAGAACAAAAATTCGGTGATTTTTTATTCTTCTTCCCCAAGTTTGTATATATTCCTATTCGAGCTACAAAAAATTCAAATTCATATATAATGCAACTTGAAAACCTTAAATTTTCTTCTTTTTCAAGTTCCAAATAGCATAAATAAAAAATAAAAATTGAAAAAATTATTGCACGTTCATGATTTTGCAAATAAATCAACAAGAAAAGTCGATTTATACATAGATTGAACATATAAAATTTTAATTTTAGATTAACTGCACAAGTGCATTACATGTATAATGATGT